CATCAAAATAGTTCTAGGCATTTCAATATCCAAAAATAAAATGCTAGTGAGAATGTAAAATGGAGAAATTAGGGTTGAAAGTTAGGAGGAAGAAGAAGAAGAGAGAACTTTTGTATATATTGAAAACTAATTAATTCCCTCAACTTTACATCACTCAAATATATATAAAAAACCTAAAGTAGCAATATGACCACCGTACCCTCACTGGCAAGAATCTGATCTTTGAACCCTCGCAACTCAGGATCTAAGCCAGAAAGTAAAGAAGCCATCATAAACTCCTCCCAATGTTGTTTCTGGGTGGTCACATCAGTAGTGAAAGGTCGATGCTGCAGTAACTGATCCCACAAAGTCTTGAGACTACTATAATAATCAGGGAGAGACCGGTCAGATTGACGCATGGCAAAAATCTGTTCATATAACTCGTAGACTCGAGAGACATTACTTTGATTTGAAAAAGACTCAGCAAGGGAGTCCCAAATGGCCTTAGAGGTATCACAAAATTTCACGGTAGTAGCAACCTGTGGTTCCAGACTATGCCAAATCCAACCCATCACATAAGAATCCTCACAACACCAATCATCATAATCCTTATCATCAGTAGGAGGAGGGAGTTCACTAATATAGCGGGACTTCTTCTTACCTTGTAAGAAAATCTTGATAGCATGGGTCCAAGCCAAATAATTAGCACCATTCAATTTCTTTGTAGTGATAGATTTAGGCATGTCATCATCTTTACCCATAGTTATAGCCTTAGCCTCAATCTCAACCATAATGATCAACCAGACTTGCAAACAGCCAATACCTACACACACAATCACCAATATAAACACAGAACTAGCTCAACAACCAAGTTTGGACCCAAATGAGACCAACACATCAACTCAACAGTAGCAATCAATAAAGAGAGGACAAATATCCCTTGCTAGAAGGGTTTCAGCCCTTATATAGGAGCCTTCAATAGGTAGAACCGAAGAACACAAGGTGACTGGACCAGAAACAGCCAAAAATCGAACAGAATATCAACCCAACAGGAGTAAAACGACAAATTAAGATCAAGGACCCTTAGAGGGGTGATTTTCGGCTCCTAGAGAAGTGAGCCCAGCAAGAAAAACCAGGAAAAAATAGTCCCAAAGGCAGATTAAAAAAAAACAGTCCCAAAACACGAAATAGTTTCAAAAATCGAAAACTCACATCAGGGATGATCAAAAAATTTCACAAAAATCACCATAAATCTCAGGAGGCAATTTCGAGTCTAGGGGGAAGGACCCGTCCGTACACTACTTACGTCATGCTGACATCATCGTACGGCTGATGACATTAGCACGTCTCGGTCACCTCAGATCGATCTTTAGAATCTGTAGAACCCTTTCTAATGAAAAAGAGATTGCTCTGATACCAAGTGAGAATGTAAAATGGAGAAATTAGGGTTGAAAGTTAGGAGGAAGAAGAAGAAGAGAGAACTTTTGTCTATATTGAAAACTAATTAATTCCCTCAACTTTACATCACTCAAATATATATAAAAAACCTAAAGTAGCAATATGACCACCGTACCCTCAACTTAAGTAAATATTAACAAGAGAACAAAAATAAACACTGATTAGAGACAGGATATCTGTACTGGCTTTATAATGCACTATGGCCTTTAATTTTTTGGTGTGGCACAAAGAGGTTGGCAACTTAGTTCCATAAAAACAATAGTACCTTTGGGCCTTAAAATAACGTGTTTTGGGAAAGCATACTTTGAATTATATATGTACACACAGATTATATAACCAGATTATAATAAGCAAAAAGAAGGAAAGAAAGCTATACAAATTACTTACTAGGATTAAGCGAAATAGCTGATATTATGGGGCCATAAACACCTCTCTTAGGAATACGTGTAGTCCCTTTGCCAGCCCAATAAAATCGGATTTCCAAGATATTATCTGTCACACTGGTATTGAATTGTTCTATCACTGGCTTTAGAGCCCCACTAGCCACACCTTCAATATTGAAATCCTTCCTAACTAATTGTCCCTAAGACAAAAAGAAAATTGATTAAGCATTCCTTATAACTTGAATTAAAAAAGAAAAAAAAAAGGGTGTATGTTTATGGACATGACAAAATTACCTGAATATAAATATCAAATATTCGCTTCCCAAGACTGCTATATGTATTGTCATTTGTAAAAAGTATTTCAGCAAAGTGCAGACTAACAGTGTAATTCCCATTTTCTAAGCAGTAACGGAAGTAAGTGAGTGAAAGAGGCGAAATGCGTGCCGTCCTATACAATTCAGAGAAGTTTGTTGATGGAACAACTTTAGTAAAACGTGCATTTTGGTAATCAGTATCATCCATGAAGTCCCCGGTGCTACTGAAACCCCAATAACTATTTATACTATTAAAATATTTTGCCGCGCCACCGTCGACTTGTGCATCTCCTTCGTACAAAACCTTTTTATCATTTTCTTTCGTAGTCAAATCATTTCCACCACAGTTAACATGTAACGAACATCCATCTGCCACAAAAAGAAAAAATATAAACAATACCATAATGCAATTTTAAATTGCATTTAATAAAGACTCTGCAATAAGTGAAATATTGGTGGAAATAGCATAAGATGCACCAGACACATTATGATTTTTTCTAAGAGACATTAATTATGAGATTAAGCTTTTGGTTAGGTTGGATTTTAGTTTCCTACTAGACTGTAGTATTATGGACAACTTTTCAAATTCTTAATTTGCAATTTTTTATATATATTTTTTTATTTTATATAATCTAAAATGACTTCCAGGGTCGAAATGAAAATAAAAGTAGTAAGGTTGTGTCAAATTAGAGAGCATATAAAATAGCACCAGCTTGATTCGAAAGTTCACGGAATTCACTTCTTTTTGGTAACAATATCCCACGACATGTTCTTTCCAAAAGCTTGGAGGTTAGGTATACTAAGTTCTGAAAATAAGGCAGTTCTAAAACTATGCATTACAATACGAGGTTAATTTTTAATGATTTTTTAACAAGGACAAATGATGCAATCCACAATAGGAGCAAGGAAAACCAAAATTAAGGAAGTATTCATGTTTGGAAATTGCTTGGTTTCGAGCCGAATTCAATTGGGATCAATTGGAACCATCTAAATTATGTTTCTAGTCTTGATAGTCTTATTTATGTTTATTTTGGGTTCAGAAAGCCGCTGGTCAGTTTTAAGGTTAGGGGTATTTTCGTCATTTTCAGATTTGCTTACATGGATTGTTTTGTGGATCAAGTTATTTAATTGACTTTTATTTATGGGTTTTATTTGGTCTTAGATTGGTTTTGAAAGTCTAAAGTTTAGTTATAATTTAATGGAGTTGATATTTGGCACTGTTTGGCAACTTAGCTTTTTGGATAGCCAAAACGTAAAACAAAATCACTAAAAAAGCCAATAAAAAAAGGGTTCAAACATCTTAGTAGTAATTCATGGTTTTCGATACAATTAAAAATAATTATTCCCAAACACATTAAATTTTTTCGACCTCATAAAAAAGCCAAAAAATCAAAAAAACAACTAAAAAGGTCAATTCCCATATGAGGCCTTTATAAAGTTTTCATCGATGCAACCCTAACCCTAGGTGGAATGCATATGTAAATAAGGTGTGATGCCTAGATTTCTTTCTTTTTTCTTTTTTTTTTTCCTTTTCTTTCCCGTTTACTATTCACAAGCTCTATTCAAAACTCCTGAATCCCCTGCTTTGATCTTCTTTTCCCCATTTTTATCAACCTCAAACCTAGGTCATTCATGCATTAATTGAAACCCTAAAATTCTTACTGATTTTCAGCTTTAAAACACAATAAAAACCCACAGAAATTCAGGATTAAAATCATTATAGTGCTGTCAGACATCAAGAAAATAAAGATAGTTCACACCACTGATGCTTCAAAAGAACATACTTACATCTTGGACAATTGAAATCCTTCATACATGGAAGAATTCTCTTTCTGTTATGGAATCAGCCAAACAACAATTAGCATAAATGTACACTAAGCAAGAAAATGACTACCCTAAGTAGAAATCTCCTTCTACTTCAGTTGATAAAGTAGAAGCCAATTATGAAACTTTAGAAAATGAGGAAATAAAAAATAAATAAAAGAGCATCTTACAAGGGGTTCTCCTTCAGAGAGCTTTTAAACAAATTTATGTATAGATTCCTAATAAAATGAAAAATAAAGATAATTGTCAAAATTAAAAAAATTGCCACTTAACTGGAAGTATATAGCAGGAACAAAAACTAAAGTAGAAAAAAGTATTCTTACATGTTCTCCTGACAAGCAGGCTGATCAGGACCTTGCCATGTAAGGTTGTTGTAGGAAAAATCACTGTGGGAAATCATTAACGTTAGGTGTTATCATCTTGGTAATGATAGAAATATGATAAATTAGTAATAGAAGTATAACCAAGTTAAAAGGACCAATCAAATAGCAGGGTTTTACATAAATGCTTTAAATCCCAAACTAAAACTCAGTTGATCAAGCAACTCAACTTCAGTTTATGCAATAATATAAAATGGGCATATAGGAATAATATATTTTATGCGAAATAAGGTGTTACTACTAGGATGATGACCATTCATAAATTACAGAGGAGAAAATGAGAAGTTACAAAGATAAAAGTAGTACTTTCTAATTCAAGGCATGATCAGGAGGGTTCAATAAAATAAATACTAGTCAGGTTGTTCTTCCCATTGCTGCAGTAAGATAATTAGTTTTTGGAAGTGATGTGACAAAAAATATTGACATTGGAAATAGTTATTTATGAAACATAGCAAAGTGAGGCAATTTCCATGGTTAATGAAAAATGTGCAATAAAAGTATTGCAGCTGGTTAGCAATCAATTCAATAAGCACCAAAAAACAAAACTAGAGAAAAATCTAGAAGGAAGCAGATAGAGAAGATTTAACCTTTCTTTCAGTCACAAAGCCATTAAATAAGTAGGAAAAAATATCAAGACAAAGTTCCCATATTCTTCTTTGTTGGTTGCTGATCAAAAAATAAAAGTTCCCAATATTTTTCATAAGTTTTCCTCCTTGTTACAAAGAAAGCAAGTACTAAATGCATTTCAAAAGTGATAGTCAGGACTGAATATCAACCGATGACAATTTAGAGAAATCAATAATTTAAAAAAATGAAAATTCAGAGAAACCAATTCAGGTACCCCAATTAGAATATTCACAAGGGGAAATTGGGGGAGCTTTGGTCAATACTTCTAATAAGGTATCGACATGACACTCGTTGGACACTTCTCAACACTACACATGAAACACATTACAAATTTGAATAAAATAACTTGAAATTCAATAATAAAACAAAAACAATGTAAAGTTATACCCATTCTCCTCCTTTGACTTCAAAACTTTGACTTAAATATTCATATATATGACATATAATAAATATATAAAATTACACTCCACGTGTTGCGTCCTATATTTTTTGAAAATTTTTGTGTCAGTGAGTCCGTTTCCAATCACGTGTCCATGTCCGTGCTTCTTAAGTCAATAGAATAAGAAGTGACAGCAGGACTGATGTACAGTTTTGCTTCCAAAGAAGGAACTTTTTACGCGTAACAGTATGATGGGCTATTGATTGTGACGACCACTCATGTAACATGCACAGCTTAGTCAATAGTGTTGAATGGATTAGTGGAAATTATAAAGCCTGAGATCAGAAACCGGGAAAAGCCTTTCCTAATAATGATTTACTAGTGAAATGGTTTAATATGCAAAACAGAACCCTTTGAGCCACAAATACAAGGTGAGTTAATGCAAGAAGGCCATAACTGCAGAGAGAAAGTCAGAAAGAACACTAAGTACTTACAGATTCAGGGGAAAAAAAAAAAACATGGCTTCTAGATGGAGTGTACAGCTGATACAACCTTCTTTTGCGAACATCAGTTGGGAGAATGCATTGTGAATGCTGAATCCACTGGAAAAAAATTTCCTTCTAATACCAAATATGGTTAATTATTTGCTTACTTCTGTACTTCAACTACTAATTTTGCCCAACAATACCACAAAGATTAAAATTTACAATAATTTGTGACTCAACTTGATGAACAACAAACATGCACGCAAATACAAATTTCTGAAAATAAGAACTCAAGTTAAAAACATACATACTACGTCCATCCTTCAAGATTGAATCTGGTACATTTCCACTTAGCATGTTGCCACTCAAAAACCTATTCAAAGCAATGCCATATAGTTAATATACTATAAAATGGTGTATGATAACGATGAAATAATCCAATAGATTAGCAATTTCGGATCAAAAGAAATTAGTAACATAAAAATTGTTGGCACCTTAAGAGAAATTTAAATGTAAAAGAATATTTTTCCACAGAAACACTTCACCTTGTTGTTAACAACTTTTGAGAAATGCTATATATCACCGGTTTTTGTCACCATTTTGTATTACAATCTACATGGATTCTCATGATTAGTTTCCTCGTTTGAAGATAATTATTAAGAAATTAATGAATGCAAATGATATCTTGCTATATACTCTCTGCGTAATAAAAGAATGAAAAATATAGGTGATATATAGCAGCCCACACAACTCTCAGATTCATGGGGAAAAATTTCACTCAAGTACTATTTACGACAGAACCAAATACATCCTAAACTTTTGGTTTCATACTTACACGAATATCAAATTCTTTCCTTTTATGTCATTTGGAATTTCTCCCACTAACCTGTTAAAGCTGACATCCCTGTCCAAATCACAATACAAGATGAGTTAAAAAGGAGGAGAAAAACAGCCCGTATCCAAAGTTTTTTTAACAGTCAACTTTATTTGATAAAACCTTCGTTTATACATGTTTTCTAAAGAAATAGAAGAACTTTAAGGATGAAGGAACAAATGTAGAAGAGTGAGAAGGGGAGAAAGGAAAAGGAAAGACAAACCAATTGGCCAGCATATAGTAATTCTTCACAAGTACTCAAGAACAGAGAGAATTAAGGTGACATGTGATATTCTATGAAAATGCAAAAAGTGATCATAAACCTCTTCACCAAAAAATACAATAAGAATTCGCCAACTAGTAAACCAAAAAATGTTTAGACACGCTCTGAGAAAGATCAAACAACCCTTCTGTTCAACATGTCAAAATAATTTCATGGGTCACACCTAATGCCTTAGTCAATCCAGTTTGCACATCACAAATTTGACATTGTAGAATGGTATAATTTAAAATCCTAATTTTAGCCTCCTCCAATCAAAGGGAAAGCACATTGGTATTTTTTTCTTCTTTATTCTTTATTCCTTTTTCTTTTTTTCCATTTTTTTTTTTTTTTGGTGCTAGGCGAGAAGAGAAGGCCACCAATCTCCACTCTGTCTACATCTACTTCTCAAAATAATAATTTCTTCAACTGAATCCAACTATTGCTTTTTATTTTATTTTATTACAGGTGCATAATCAATTGATTCGGCCAGCTGTTACCCAAAACAAAGTATTAGCAATCTAGATATTTGTTGAATATAGAAACTAGAATATCATGTTTAGAATAGGAATTAGAATATTTTTATATTGATTGTAGGAATCTCTCTTCTTGTTTATATTGTTTCCTAAAATTGTATCATGAATATGTTATATATACATGGCCTCCACCTCATTCAAAAGTAAGCCAAATAATTCTCCCCATTATTTTTGGTATCAGAGCTACCAAACCCTAGCCACCCACCACCCTCTCTCTCTATTTCAGCAGCCCTTCTCACCAACAGCTACCCTTCTCCCTCCCCAGCCACTCGATAGCCCCTCCTTCTTCTTCTACCCTAGCCGACAACCACCCTTCTCCCTTCCCAACCCCTCGGCAGCATTTCAAAACTGCTCCCACCAGATTTTTAGGTGCCGACTAGACCCCCTCTGTCTTGGGTCTAGTGTGGCTGCCCCTTTTGGGTAGTTTTACCCCTTGTTTTGATGTGGTAAGCACTTTTATGTGTTTAATTTGCTCATTGAGCTACTGGGTTTGTTCGGTAACATTTATTTGGATAAGCCGTTGAGTTTTTTTCGACTCCTTACTTTTTCTTGGACTGTGTTGCTATCCCTATGTGCTTTTCAGCCCCTCTTCTTCCACCATGACTGATCCATCTTTTGTTGTTTCATCCGATATACCCACCAAGCTTGTCCCAATTAGTTCTGATTTTTCTCTTTCTCATCACACTCCTGTTCATCGTATTACGAGTGTAGTGTTGAATGGGAAAAATTTTGCCGCCTAGAGCCGCTCCCTTAAACTCTATTTAGGGGGCAAGGGAAAAAACTCATTGGCTTTTATCTTCCACTACCCAGCCTGCTGCAACAAATCCTACACGTGCACAATGGGATATTGATAACTATACTATTTTGGGATGGATATTCAACTCCATGGAAGACCGTATTTATCACAGGTTTCTCTATTGTGACACCGTTCCTGGTCTATGGCATGCCTTGTCACAGATGTATGCTCATGCTCATAACGAGGCTCGCATCTTTTAGCTCTATCTGGATATTGCTCGTGCTTTCCAGTCTACCTTGGGTCTTTCTGTATCAGAGTTCTTTGGATACCTTTAGGCCCTTTGGGAAGAATTAACTCAATATGAGCCCTTAACTGAGTTTCCAGCAGATGTTGCCTCTCTTGTGTCCAAACGCCTTGCTCGCTAGCATCCTTACCAGTTTCTGATAGGTTTAAACTCTGAGTTTGAATCCCTTCAAACTCATATTTTAAACACATCACCCATACCTTCACTCTATGAGGCCTTTGCCACCATTGATAGTGATGAGTGTCGTAGG